TATATATATATATATATATATATATATATATATATATATATATATATATGTATTACGATGAATGCAATAAAATCCAGAGAGATGAACATTAGTATTCATGTTAATTCATTTTTATTACTTAATAACAAAACGGACTAATTTCACAGTCATGAGGATCTACCATTTCGGTTAGGATAACCGGTAATCTAAGCTCTGGGATTTTGAGTGGCATACCTTTTAAGGTCTTTACCGATTGAAGAGTTCGAACCCCAGGCCTATAAACCGAGAGGGCGAACCTGATAACGAGTAGAATTGTTGGAACATCGCTACTACCATCAACCATCACCTTGGCTATCCACATTACATATGCACTGTATTATGGGATGGGTGTGGATCAAAACTGAACGACCAGAAGGGTACTAGTATGAATACCATGGGTAAACCAACAAGTTTAGAAATTCAGTGCAAAAGAACAGTTGGGAACAAAGGACCGTTTTTTTGGTGGGAGCAGCGGAACCCAGACACACACATGAAGGGGGGGGGCGGTCAAACTAAGCTGTGAACTTGACCTCACTAACCTGTAGAGTGGCGTACGGATTTTGATAAGTCGGTTTACGTGGGACAAAATTCAGTTCCTGTTCGGCATCGGCAAACATACGCAAGTCGTCCTCGGGAAGCAAACCGGAAGACCGGGTCAGCTCGATTGCCCAACGAATCAGATCGATCCGGCTCGAATCGACAGTGAGCGCTTGTTGTATGGTGTCGGGAAACAGGAGGGCCCATTCCAAAAAGTACGGAGTGTTTTCAAACACAGTTGCAAACGCTGAAAACGTGAGGAAGCAGGAATTGCGAAGATTAGTCGAACAGACTGGAGGAGATTTGACTGACTGATTTGATTATTCATCACTTGACGCAGAAGTATCAAAACCTTTACCGAAGTTCTAACACTATTCTTCCAATTTTCAGCGTTTTTCTCTTACAACTACCTAATCATTGGCCCATTGAGCCGTTGAATAAAAAAATAAAAATGGAAGCACCCAATTCTAATGTTACGAATTGTGCAAACTGAATGGAAGTGAAAATCTCCTTCAAAGAGAGATTGTGTTCAGGAATAAGGTATCACAAACGAGGTTTCAAGTAGATAAGAAACAAAGACGAGTGCATCCATGCTTTAGAGCATGGAAATAGTAAGTGGGTAGGAAACTACAGGGACGAGCGGCTTACCTTCGCCCACTGTATCGTTCATTTCTGGTGCATCCATATCAACAAATTCGACCTTTTTTCTAGCTTCTCTTAGGACCTGATGTAAAAATAAAGAACAATCAGCTATTATTCCAATATAAGAGGTCATGGTCAATCAACGCTAGAAACTTAATTTTTCATCTTGCATAATCGCTTGGAAGCATCAACTCTAAATCGGACTGAAGATACTGCCGAGAAATCATGGTATTAGAAAAATGCATTTTATTTGTGAATTGATAAGCGGCACTATTCGTGTTAGGAACATATTTTGGCACGAGAGTTGTGTGCAACGACAACCTGAGCTCTACGATCACCCAGGAACCAGCAACACGGAACCAATGGACTTTCCAAAATATCGAATTCAAGCATTGAAGCATTGAAGAGACATGATAAATTTGGTTTTTAGGCCGCAAGTCAGATCTGACAAACCACTGCAATATACACAAGTTGA